TAAATATATTGGTTCCTTATCTAAGTAAAAAATAACTTGATTGGAGAGAAGGGCTGGGTCTTTGAAGGCAGGCTTACATACAATGGAATATGATTCAGTCTTTATAAAGGAAAATTCTGTCATATGTGACAGCAGGGATGAACCTTAAGAACATTACACTGAGTGAAATAAGCCAGTCACAGTGGGAAGTAATGAAATTTCTCCTTGGTGAAATAGTTGCATGCTCTTCCATCCATGGTGTTCTACTTTAGATTCAAATTCCATGGGAAGAGTTGTTCTAACTTGGTCACATGCTCTCCCCTAGGCTAATCATCCACAGCCAGGGGTGTTCTATTCTCACTTCATTTTGAGAGAAACACTGGAGATTTGAAGATACTGTTCATGTCTATTTCATCCTGGAATTCTCCAAAGCACTTGCCTTAGTGCTTTGTACACAGTACGTGTGCAAATACTGGTTGAATGAATAACAGAATGAAACACCAGCTCTTGGGGACTTATCTTGACCTTTATCTCTGTTCCTTAATTTGTACTTATAGCATGTGGATGTGTCGTTTCTGTGGCAGATTTAACCTAAGCATTATGTGCCAAAAACTTTTTTAAAAAGTTTACGTTCAGAAATATGCTATTATTAAAGTAACTTTCAGAGCTTTCCTCTTTTTGATAAAAAATGGATAGAGAATGTTCAGAAGGAACTAGACTATGATTTACACTCAGAAATACATGGTTTATTAAATAAACCAAAGAAATTCATAGTTTATCAGTCTGGACTCACTACATGCTTTTGTTCAACCTAGTAAATAGTCCCAGGTTTCTTGAATTATAGCAAACCATAGCCCATAGATTAAAACTGGCCCACTGCTTGTTTTGTAAATTAGGTTTCATTTGAACATAATGTTGCTCTTTTCTTTAATGTTTTGTCTGTGGCTGCTTCGGTGCTACCATGGCCCAGCTGAGTACTCACAACAGTGATCCTGTGGCTGGCAATGCTGCAGTGTTTACTATCTGGCTTTTTACAGAAATATGTGCTGACTCCTGATTTAGACTCTGCAAACCTCTATATGGGTGATATACTGTAACCTTGACAAAAGGCTCAAGATCTCACCCTCACCCTCTTTTCTCATTCCAAGAGGAGAGGATTGTGATGTGAATCAAAGACAGGTGAAGGGCACACAGATCACAGTGGAGCTTTTGTTGGGAGGGTAAAGGGAGCCAAGCTCTTTTCCAATTCATGATTTATGCTGTCCTATCTTATGCTACCTTTGGTGGAGACAGACGGCAGAAACAAAGTGGGACCACTGTGGGTACTGGGGAAGAGTCATGCAGCTGTTGAGAGCAGATTTAGGTGTAAGTTTTCAGAGAGAAATGTCAGCGTACGGGAGTATGCAGTTCTCTGTGGGCTAGGCCATCTGACCCAGACAGGCACTGGGCCGGACTGGGAATAAAGAGTGAGCCTACAGCTGGCGTAACCATCATTCTCTAGCCCTGTTCCATTGTGGAAAATGTTAAATTACAAAGTTTCCTTCTCACAGTGAACAGAAATTCTCTTCCTTGGTATTGATTCATTCTTCTAGAGCTTTCTCGGTGTTATGGGCTGAATTGTGTCCCCCCGCAAAATTCATATGTTGAAGTCCTAATCTCTGGTAATTCAGAACACAGTTTCTTCCTTGAAGATGGATCTTCAACTAGGTAGTTGAATTAAAACGGGGTCATTGGGGGTGGCCCTAATCCAATCTGTCTGATGTCCTTATAAGAAGAGGAGCTAGGAAAAGGCCATGTGAAGACACAGGAAGAAGACCATCCATACGTCAAGGAGAGAGCCTTCAACTAGACCTACTAACTCCTTTATCTTGGACTTCTGGCCTCTAAACTTGTGAGAAAATAAATTTCTATTGTTAAAACCGCCTAGTCTGTGGTACTAGCAAACTGATGTACCATGTATCAGCTTTCATACATGGGTAGACAACTATCATCTCTTCTGTTCACCAGTTAAATGTCTTCTCTCCTCTCATACATTTCATTTCGGCTTACCCACTAGGTCCTACCTCTGTTATTTTTTGATATTTATGTTTTCAAAATGTTTCTACCCATTGGTTCAGCAATTCCACCTCCAGGAATTTTCCATCCTAATGAAATCATTCTACAAAAGCACAACGCTTTGTGCACAAAGACTTGCATCCCACTGATGCATGTTGTTTTCTTCAACTTAGGAAAATAGTCCAATATATATACTGATTTATTTATTTTTCAAAAAAAATTAATGTAAAATAGATGTCTGGTGAAATCTCCCCAAAATATGAAAATTTGTAAATAAAAAGAAAAAATCTCCCCTTAACGTTTCCCATAGACACACTCCCCAGAGGTAACAATGGGAGTGTATCCACTGCACACGTGATTATAAACGTAGACATACTTTTAAACAGAAATAGGAAAACTATTATACATAACACTATAATTTTTTCTCTTATGATAGCATGGGTATCTTCTTATGTTATTTCAGTTCCTCACCCTTCCTTCCTTGACTGCCTTCATAACTCCTGCCCAGCTTTAGAAAGTCAGGTTGTTGCCTTCCTGTCCTTCCCTAAAGCTCTATTAAGTGTCCTTTTCCTGGGCTTTTACAGTGCCCTGAGCATAGTTAATGACCTCGCCCAACCTATATGACCATAGTTAAGAATAATGGCTCTGGAGCCAAACTGCCTGGGTTTGAATCCTAGTGTATTCTTCTCCTATGGCTGCTACAATAAATTATCACAAAGTTAGTGGCTTGAAACAACAGAAATTTATTATCGTATAGCTCTGGAGGTCAGAAGTCCTAAAATCAAGGTGTCAGCATGTTTGTGTTTCTGCTGAAGGGTCCAGGGAAAAATCTGTTTCTTTGCCTTTTCCAGTTTCAGAAGGCCTCCTGCACTCCTTGGTTTGTGATGTAGCATCTTCAAGTCTCTCTCTCATACACACACAGACACACACACACAAACCCACTTCTGATTTCATTGTCACATCTCTGATTCTGATATTGCTGTCTCGCTCTTATGATTCTTGTTATGACACTGGACCTACTCAGGTAACAGGATAATCATGCCCCTCAACCCCCCCCCAGTATCCTTAATCACATCTGTAAAGTTCCTTTCCCATCTATGGTAACATTATGTGTTATCATTTTACCTTACAGGTAATTTCCACGTAGAGTAATATTTATAAATTCTAGGGATTAGGAGGTGGACATCTTCAAGGAGCTATTATTCTACCTAGAAACACCATCTTGTTAAAAAGATGTGCCTCCCATGTTGTGTCTTCATCATCTATTAAAATAGGAAAGAGATTGTTCCTACTTATAAGGCTACTAAGAGAATTCATTGAGGTCATTTATGTGAATGGTGCCTGGAACACAGTAGATGTTCAGTAGTGTTAGCCATTATTATAATTATATACTTATCTATGAACTGTATTTGCCCTACACTAGACAACTAGTTCCTTGAAGAATAGTATTACATATTATGTACCCAATAAATGTTTGCAAAACTGAGTTGCTCAGCCTAAAAGATTTAGCCAGTAAAAATGATACAGAATTTGAAATGTAATGAAAAAAATCATCATATTTTGTTGTCATATTAAGTGAAAAAAGCAAAATAAAATATGCATAGACAATCACAGCTGTTTTAAATGTATAGAACTAAAAATTATGCATAAAAATAGACTGGGAGGAAATATGCTCAAACATTAACAGTTGGTGGCCTTGGAATGGTGGAAAGATGGGTGATTTTTTTCAATTCCTATTTTTACTTTCACACTTCCTCTATTGTGCATATTTATTTTTAAGATGTAAAATCAATTTACATCTGATTTACACATACACATGCACATGCACACTCCCGTACACCTCTTGCTTGTTAAATATTAGAAGTGACATTATACACACAGTTAGAACTCAGGTTTTGGGTTACTATTTGGTTTATAGTTCTGGTCCATCATTTACAAGCACTGGCTACTTGGAGGAAGCTGCTGTTGTGGACGTTGTTGTTATTGTAGTTGTTTCTACTTCACTGCCCTCACCTGAGAGCTAAGGAGGGCAATGGTCCACCCGAGGGCTGCAGTGGGTCCAGTGAGATAATGCATGTAATCTCCCAGCACGTCCCATGACACACAGTAGGTCTCGAATAAGTGTTAGCTCACTCTTCTCAGGGTTATTATAACTGAGAGGATGTTGCTAGTTAGAGCACACTTTAACAAAGAGTTGTAAGGAGGCATTTGTTCAGAAAAGGGAAGCAGTGAAAATTGGGAATAAAACCAGCTCTGGAGCTCAGCATCGTAAGATTTATTTCATTTAAGCCCCTCGGGTAAAGCTATGCCAAATCTGATGCTACAAGAATGTTTTTCAAACACTGTTTTTAGCAACAGAACTCCCTCACACTACAACTCTCATGCAGATTCCCCAGATTTAAGACGGATCAAAACCACTGCTCTGGTAAAATGGGAGTCAGGCCATGTGTCCTGAGCTCCACGTTGCTCTTACAGAGCTGAGGCTTCTCAGAGAATAATGTGGAAAACGCTCTTCCAGCACAAACCTAACTGGTTTGCAAGTTGTAACTTGGCCAGCTTCTGCGAGAGGGGGCACAGTGTCCCTGGCACTCTATTGCGGTTTGAGGGGGCAGCGGGGGCACGGGGCGCATTAGGAACAGCTGCGCCCAGGCTCCTGAACTACTTGGCACTGCGTTTGTACATGTCTCAAGCCTGTTCCTTAGGAGCTGTGCCCTTATTTGAGCCAGAACTACACAAAGGCATTGTCCTCAAACACTGGGTCTCCTCTTTCTTGACTGGCTCTTGTTTACTCATTCATCAGCAGGTGGCGGCTGGAACGTTCCCCTTTGATTTTGTGGCTCAGGAGCAGCGGGCCAAGACCTAAGCTGAATAAACATCATATCATTTGGCACTGGCAGGATTCCTGGTATCCCGGGTCAGGCGAGGTTTAAGGAGGATTAGGTTTAGATTAGAAAGAGGGTTGAGTTATTTTTTTCCCCTGTGGTCTCTCTTAAGTGCCTTAGGGTTTTGTAAGAGGAAAGTGGGCTGATAGCCTGGGCTCAGTTGCTCCAGAAATAAAAGTGGTGAGCTTGGTGTTCTTTTCTGGAAGATCAGAGTATGTTCTTCTCCTGAATGTGGTTTCTCGCGGGAGGGTGCTGGGCGCTTCAGAATTTGTTGAATGCTCTACACCTTTTCTCCAGAAAACTATGTGCACGTGTGTGGGCGGGCGCGCATGCGCACACCTGCAACACGCGGCCACATCCACACAGGCGCGCGCGTGCGCATACGCACTCACACGTTTACTTACTCCCCGCGGGTTCCTGAGAAACGCAGGCTGGACTACTTTTCAGAGCCTACGCAACTCACTAAGGAGAGAGACATCACTCTTTCCAAGGTAAGCCTGGGGGTGCCCCCATTAGCTGTCGTCCCCAGAGTGGCTCCTCGGTGACCACTGGCCGTGCTGAATGGCCCTTGGAGTCACAACGCCGGGTTTCCTTGGTAGTCTGGCCTTGGGGAGGCTGGCGGTGGGCTCTGGCACTCGCTCTTGTTTATAACACAAAGCCTTGCTCCACTCCCTGGCGAAGGCTTGCAAACCCAAACCGCTTCATTTCCCAGCCACAAACAGGTTAGTGGGTAGTGGGGGAGGGGAACAATACCATGGCGAACACCTTTTGAAAGCACGCCTTCTCCTTAGATTCCCTGGAAGGTTGTCTTTTCACCGCAGGGTACGCCAGCTCCAGCTTTGCTTCTGGGGGAAACTGTGGTTACCTCTGCCCTTCAGGAAAAGAAATGGCTGGCTGAATTTTAACTCCTTGTTCTTCTCTTTCTTATTGGTGTCCTCCGCACCACCATCATTTTTTTAAGGGGAAGGCGAACATGTATTTTCCTTCAAATAAATGGATGTTCCCATTTACAGTTAAGAGACGGGAGTGCCCAGGCTGCCGTTTACTTGTTTAACAGTGAGCAAGTCATTTAACCTCTCTGAGCCTCAGTTTTCTGCAGGGATTAAAACACTACCTGCTGCCTGGGGTAGTCATGAAAAACCAACATGGGGCAAGTAATTGGCAACTCTCTCACTCCAAGTGAACATTTGGGATTGGTTTACCGTTTATACTGTAAGTAGATTCTTATCCTCCAGTGCAACATGATTTCCCTCTAAAAACTTTGCCTTCTAGAACCTTAAACACAAGCATAGGCTTTCTCCAGTTTTGCATAAGGAATTTCCACTTGCCACCTCTAGAAAAGAGCAACTACTTAAGTGGCATCATTTTAGGGACTGGTTGAAGATTCTAATCCCAAATAGTACTCTTAGCATGAAAATAAGGGAACTTGGTTGTGTCCAACCTAGTCTACTGCATAATAAATATATTTTAAAACATTCAAACTCTGCTTTTCATCTTTACACCACTGTCATGTAAGTGGAGAAGTCCATACTGGTGTCTATAAGAGTTAACATTTATTTGAGCACTTTTCATGTCCTAGTACATGTCCTAAGCACTTTACCTAGTTTAATCCTTTCAATAACCCTCCAAATAGGTACTATTATTATTTTATAAATGGAAACAGAGGCTCAGAGAGGTTAAATAAATGGTCCAGGGTCACAGAGCTTGTGAGTACCAGAGCTAGTGGTAAATATCCAGCCTCTTGCTGCTTTGATCTCCAACTTTTTAAGAGAATGTGTTGCCTCTCCTTATGCTCCCTAAAATAATAATTTTCAGTTGAGAAGTTCATCCTTTCTCCCTTTGATAGGCCTGACAGTCTCCCCCTAGCAGAAATCTCAGATGGCTTAACACTGTCCAGAGTTTCAGATTTATTTAAAGCAGCCTTCAGATTGTTTGTAACGCCGCTGGAAAATTTATTTTTTAACCTCTATGCTGAAGAAAATTATGTATGTGCGCACATGCTTCAGTGTTCATCAGTAAGGGGAGGAAGATGTAATAGTGTCAGTTTACATCATCCAGAATGTTTGCTACTAAACATAAGAAATAGTTGTTAAAGCCATGCACAGACTCACATGCTGGTGCTTACAGAACTTACACCATGATCTCCAGGTTATCCTCTCATTTCTGTTGGCCCGGAGCAGGTTTTGAATATGAACTAAACTTCTTTATGTGATTTTTTTTTCTGATTATTGAAGTGATATATATATCCATTGTAGGAAATTTAGAAAATATGGAAGAGTATGAAGAAGCCAGTAAAATTAAGCTAAATGTCTTAGTGTGTGATCTGGGCCCAAAATCAAAGCTTTTTTGGGTTTAGATAATACCTGTGCATTTGTGTGTGTGTGTGTGTGTGTGAAGAACTACAAAGAAAAAATTGCCTTTTGATTCCAGGGCAATTTTAAGGTATTTTACCATAAGTCATTTTAAAGCAGTCAAGTGAGAAAAAAGAAAATTTTCCCTGCTCCTAATTGTTACAGATGAATCTCTAGAGAATTGTTGAATTAGGGGGTAAAGTAAGCTTATGACATCCTCAAATGCTTTGAAATTTATGGCAAACTGGATTCTTGCTTTCTTTAAACTTCCAAAATGATCCTGAATCTTGAGTTTCCAAAGCTGTGAATTAAAAAATTTAACTAGAAATGTGATTTCCTGCTCTCCATTTTCCCTCATTTTCCTACCTAGTATAAAAGATTAAAATATTATACCTTAAAAAAGAAAATTATAAAAGTCAAGTTTTCCATAATCACATTTAGATATTTACAATTCTTAATATATACATCTCATCTGAACATGAGTCAAAGAATACACTCATATATTTCTCACTATACTGGCCATCAAATATTTTGAAATACTTAAAAGTCATTTTCATGCACAGATTGCATATGAACACGTAATAGAAAAAGATCAGACCATTTGCTTGTTTACATCCTTTAATCAACTACCCTGAACTGATACTGTGTTCAGAATGTCTTCAGTGGTATGTGAAAAATAAGGTAGATTGGAACCTTATTTTCCTCTTTGATCTCAAGTCAGATCAGAGAGGAGTTGACTTCATTCTAAACGACATTACTTCTTTTGTTGGCTATGGGCCTAGATCTGTGAAGCAATTAATGTTTTCACGTTTATAGTCCACAATTTCAAAGGCATTAATTGCTTGTATAATTATGTATGTAATATTTATGTACTTGCTTATCACTTCACTTAATCTGAGAACCTTAATGTAATTCATAAATATTAACATACTATAATTATGCTTTATCACAAGAAAAATACGATGTACAGTCATTGATAGTTTTAAATCATCATTAGCTTTGTAGTTGACCTAGAAAGCTGACATTTAGATTTGTGGCTGTGGCTTCTATCTTACAGTAAGTCATTATTTTTGTGTGTGTCAGTGATTTGTACCACATATTGAAAGAAGTCTGGATGATGATCGGCATTGCCAAGTGGTTGATACCAGAAGAGCACAATGTAAGTTTACTCTTGCCTACTTTAAGATTTTCAGTGTTTTGCCTTTAAGATGTTAGGAGCATCTTTAATTGAACACATGAGATTTGATTCTTAGGGTTCTCTAAATAACTGATACCACACTTCCTAGAGTGAGTTTTGAAAACCAGCCAAACAAATAGAAAGTCTATTATTCTAAGCACAGCATTTACCAGGACGAAGACAATAAACAAACAAACCAACATTACAGTGATACCTAGTCTGGATATCTGTCTAGGCGTGTGACCTTTGCCCTTTGCCTTTTTCTCTGAACCCTCTGAATATTTTGACCTTTTTTTCCTAAACCTCAGATCTCTGGCCTGTGTTATTTGTTGTCATTGCCTTCACTGTTATTGCTGCTTTTTAGTTAATTCTCTTAGGATTGTGGAGCTCCATGCTATGAATTATGATTTATAATCTCTTGTTCTGTGTTTATGACAGTCTGCCTCTTTCTAACATGATTTATTGCTGACCTTGTTTTTAACATTTGAACATAATGCTTTTATATTTCAAAGCTGAACTTTGATCTCTGTGTGTATGTATTTTTTAATCTTGAGCAGTGAATCTGAGGAACCACAGATGAGAACCAGTAAAAAAGAAAAAAAAATTCCTGAAATGCAGTAGTAGTAGTTGCTGTGATTGAACAGGAGGGATGTGAAGGCTGTAATGCACACAGCCTCAGAAGAGGAGCTTGTTTGGAGTGTAAATCTAAGTCACTCCCTGGCCCAGTGATACTCCACCAGGGCCTTGGATGTCAGGAGGATCATCTGTGACTTTATAGTGAATAACAATGTCTGCTTTTTCAAAAGAATGAAGAAAGATGGGAGGCACTCTTATCTACTTTAAGTATACATTTTTCCTAGCAATATGCTAATTTAACAAATATCTGTATATATCTCAACGTGTCAGTAATATTAGTCATGTTCATGTTAGCGTGTTTAAATGTTGGTAAATGTGTCATTGTAGCCATTTGGGTTGCAGACTTATAATACAGATAATGCCCCCATGAGGACATACTTAGATGGTCTTCTCAAATTTTTCAATTTTGCGTTTAAGTTAATATTAAAGGAAGTAATTACATTATAAAATTACAGTTTCTCAAAAGGCTTTTGAGTCCAGGTTCCTGCTGTGGTGGAAGGTGGCAGTTACTGGTCTTAGGCTTTAGACACTGTATTTTCATTAAGGTTAATTCTACTGTTTGCATGGTGGTCCATCCCTACACGGAATAACCCATTTTGTAGGATGCCTTCTTTAAAAGTAATAGAACTTCCTACTGAACAATGTAAGACTAATATTTTAAAAATTATTATTCTCGAGCAGTCCTCAGTAGAAGCAGAGAAAAGTGACCATTTTTCTTCCTTGGTTCCTTCCTGATTTACATTCTAGTTAAAAGGAAATGTATGAATCCTGTACGTTTATACCACGTGGCTAGCAAGTCAGTATTCTGTTATCAGAACTTACCTCTTGTCTTTACCTGGTTGGAGATTCACCAAACTCTGTCAGATAAGGGCCT